GCGAAGATATTCTTATATATTATTCGCGTATGAGTATTCAGAATTGTTTCTCATTACATTATCATACGCACATTTCTGCGCATAAATCTATTTTTAATATCTCAATCATCACAAAATGTATCGATACACGTGGATAACGAAACGAATAGCAAATCGTCATAGTATATATATATATAACGCAACTTGCACATTCCGCAGATGACTAAAAACTCTTTTTCATCAGTTATATTGATTTCGTCATATTTCATTTATCTAAACAAAATTTTTAAAAAATTATCAAAGAAAACATTTTCTTGAGATAATATTACATCGATATGTAGGAAAAACTGCCAATATCTATCCTTACAAAAAAAATTAAGAATTTTTATAAATCTTTAATTTTTATAAACTTTTAATTTTTATAAACCACGTCACAAATTATAATATCATAAATAAAGAAAACTATAAAAACAATTTTTGCAATTTACGCAATAAATTAACGAATAACTTTTTCAATAAATTAACGAATAACTTTTTCAACCAAACAGTTTAGATAAATAGACGCACCAACAACTCTCTGTGTTATTAGCATGTAAAAAAATGAGAACTGATCAAAAAGAAAATAATTAGTAATATAATATGATAGGCAATATTTTAAATAAAAAATATAAAATTAAAAATATACACGCCTTTATTATGATTTATATTTTATCAAATTACAGTTTTATTGACGAATAATTATTTATGTAGATTATTTATATGAAAAAATTGATTGCATGTTTTTTTTGCTTCCCACAACATAAATCATGATTATATTTTATAATTCGTAAATATTATTAATCCTCAATAAATACATATACAAATAAAATATACAAGAATTTAGGAATGTTAAAGTATCACTCTTTTCATTTCTCTCTTTTATCGCCTGTTTGATGACAATTTAAAAAATCGGACATATTAAATTGAACACACAAATTAGCACATAATTCCCTGACATATTAAGAAAGATCAGAATTACATTATTAGTGTGTAACAAAAGCATTTATATCAATTATATTTCAGCAGAAAAAGGCTTAATTTAAAATAACAGATTTAAAATAATATGGCGCGTATATATATGTTTTTGTTTTTACATTAATTTATATATAAAAATAAGTCGTAATATGGAGATCAACATTATTTTTCTTAAAAAATATGTAGAAATGATAAATAAGAAAAAATTATTTCCTAGTTTTAACCTCTTTCGATAAATATCAAATCTTAAACAAAATTAATTTATTTATAACTGCTCCAAAAAAATTTAATATTCATAAAATGATAATACGATGCTGTTCATAATTTACTTGCACATATTCATAAACAAGAACTAAATAACTATATTGTACGTTTCTGACAGATTTACAATATATCACATATCTATACAAAAAATGTAGGAAGTTTATATAATATACGTGAAATGTCAGAGAGACTCTCAGATTTAAAAAATTCAATTTTTCTTTTTTAGCTATGATGTTTCAAATAAATAAATAATTTTTACTTTTTGTGTTCCTAGTATCTTAAATAACTAATAGAAAAATCGTTCAACAAATAAAAAAGAAGCCTGAGAGATCCCTCGTGATTTGTCAATTATGTCAGATTATTAATAATAAATCAAATTGTTATCAATAATTAGTTAAAAGTAAATTGCAGAAAATGTTTTAAAATATTTATGTTCATGTTTAATGTATTAAAAATTACAATTATTTTCTTTTATACACGTATTTAGTTATCATATATATTAAATATAATAATTATATAATTTCTCTGCAACGCAATGTGATAATAACTTTCTTGATTTTATCACAAAAAGTCTTGCATATATTTTCTATTATGTATTTTTCTTGACAAGAATAAAAAAAATTTGGATTCTTCCAACAAAAAAACTCAAATAACTGTAAGTAAAAAATTCTGTATGTGTATGTGTGTGATTAAGTTGTCAAATATAAAATACATTTCTTAATGTATTATAATTTCATGAAAATTTAATAGCTAGCTATATGTATAAGGAAGGAAAGAATCTTTTCTTATCAGGAAGGATATAAATCCGACTTTCTTCATTCGTATAAATGCTACAGATTCGATCAGTCTCCGTTTAGTATAATTTTACAAATTTCAACTCCATGTTGTGGTGCTTCACCCGGATGTGCCTGTATACAGCCTGCGTGTACTTGCTACGCATGTCGCAGTACGGGCACTTGAAGCGTGGCATGTCGACGCACTCAAGTCGATAATGCCGACTCATGCCGCCGGAAGTGCGGAAGGTGCGCGCACATCTGGGGCAAGGAAAACCGCGCCGATTCAAGGAAGTCTGAAGCCTGAACGTGTGCCGGGAATTGCGCACCGGGCTGTGATACTTCTCCAAGACGATCGGTCTGAAGTCTGCAAGCACAAATAAAGACGGAAATCGTATATTAGAGCAATGTGATGCGCAACCGATCTCTTAACAGCGGGAAGAATTCGAGAAGATTTCAACGGGAAAGATGGGAATGCGCAGAGGAACTTTCGAAATTTTGCCTCCTCCTCGGGAGCGATCGAAGATTACCTTGGTCTGAGCCTTATCTAAATCGAAACGATCAGACTTATTAAATCATATCGAGCTCGGTCACAATCATAATGATAAAATGCCGTAATTTTTTTATTCACACCAAATATTCGATGCATTATTCTCTCGGATATAATCGATAGATTATCGCAATCTTCGTGCTGTATCTCGATTTAAGAAGAGACACGTACGATTTCATCGATCAAACCTTCGATAGAACTCCGAGGGGCAAAATGCCGTTTAAAGACGAAAATATCTCACTCTTCTCAGAGGACGCAAGTGAAGAAACGCGCTTTTCGCTTTCATTTATTGTGAGACGAAACGACGAGCGTATCTTAACATCGTACATATCATATACGAGCATTTCCCCACGTGAATTACGACACGTTCGACTGGACTAGTAGAGCTTGTTCAGCGTGACCGCCTGTCCCGGATGGAGCTTTCTGATATGATTGTAGATCGAGTGAGACCACTTGCTGACGTGGCCACAATAAGGGCATTGATAACGCGGCAACGAGTCGCACTCGTATCTATAATGCCGATACATCGAGTAGCTCTGCGAGAAGGATTTCTTGCACTTCGGGCACTGATACTTCCGGGTGTACGAATCAATCGCGTTCTCCATCGTCTTGTGTAGCTGCGGCAACATCCGGGATCGGTCTCCCTCGGTCGGCTCGTTGCCCCATAATTCTGAAACCGATATCATCTCGTGTTAATAATCGCTCGCATTAATAATCGTTGACACGTTAATTCGCGACTACAATCGCAAAGCACTCTATGCGGGAAAACACAAGGAATAATCCCCTCCATAAAAGCATTTGTACATTTCAACACAAACTGTAATTAAACTGTGATAACACGAGATTTATGCTGTTTGACGCAACAAAGGTTGCACTCTTTCGATCAATTAATCTCTGTCTTTCTCTTTTTCCACACTTTTTCCAATACTTTTCATAATTTTCGAAAATTTATAACAGCAAAGTTGTTCCAAAGCCTTAAAAGACTAACGAATATACTTATTATCCTAATATATTTGTTGCAATTGATGTAATCGACATATTTAGGACGCTCTTGACTTCTTCATCGTTGTATTCATTTATTAAAAATTTTGGAATCTTACACCAGAAGATTGCCTAAAAAGAAGTCTGCAACAAGACACACTTATATAATCAATTATTTTTACCAGTACTTATTTCTCGGATTAATAGTGACAACTTTAACGAATTTACCTCAAGTTTGTTACAATATGCCAGAAAAATAAACACCGGTGCCCAGACTACGATGAAAATCTATTATTACAATACATTATACGCAGCATTATCGTTAAAAGCTTGTATAAATAATGAGAGATACAAGAGCTTCTTTTCTTCATATTCTTTATTTCTTTACATATGCCTTGAAAACACTTTATACAATGCAGTCTTGAATCCATTAAGATTCGTCGAATTTATTTTCTTGAAGAAAAAATTACAGGAACATGTAATTGCATTTTGTTAAAATTTAGAGAAACAATATTTAAAACATAATATTAAATAAATATTGAAGCACAATCACAAACCAAATGTACAATGGCATAACGTGTAATAAGTCTTTTCAACGCATAATTCGCATTGATTTTGTAGATCTTCTGAATATTCTCTGAATAGTCTTTCGAGACGCTGTAAGCTCAACATTTGTACAAGATATAAGTGCGGATGTAATTCTCTCTCGTTAGCCGTCAAGAGTCGCATTCGAAAAATTTTCACAAAGAGATAGCACGAACCTGTTTACGATACCAGGAGAAATAAAACTTCCCTGAGACGCTAGAAGCAATCCGATTCGACAAGTAGCTCCGAAAATTTCAACCCGCTTCGCCGCCAGCGAGCTTCTTCGCGATAATCCTTGTGACTCATCGCGCAAGTTTCAGTTCAATAGAGCTTCACGAGAGTCACCTGCTCCTTCGGGTGCATACATCTGACGTGCTGATAAATGTTAGAGGTCTTCTTGCTGCAGAGGTTGCAATACGGACACTTGTACCTAGGTGCCTTGCCGCACTCGTATCTGTAATGGCCGAGCATGGTGTCCCGTCTGCCGTAGCCATTGTTGCAATTGGGGCAGTGGTACTTGCCCGTGTCCGAGTTGTACTGTATGTCCCGTTTCTTCATGTACTTCTTCCGACGCATTGCGTGAAGCTGGACTAGTCTGCCACCTACAAAAAATCGTGTTACGGTCAACATCGTGATATGCTCGGGAAGTGTCACGGAAACGTATCCTCTGTTCGAGAATAAAGGCATCAGAATTCCATGCAGATGGGATATTCGCAATAAGAAATAAGATAGAAAGATAGGCAGAGAGAAAGAGAGAGAGGGAGAGAAAGTAAATAAGAAAGAAAAGTATAAGAGAGGCAAAAAATTACGCAGATTTTAAGTCACACGTGATTTTCTTAAGGGCAAATCACTTCTCTGGTAAAATGCTTTTATTCAAACTTGAAAACAGACGTATATTCGATAGCTTTACATGACTATAAGTACGTTCTCAAATAATGAGACATATCTTTGATATTGTTCCATCTATCGCAGATGAAAAAAATACACCTCGAATATCGTGGCTATTTTTATTTCAATATAATTTCTTCCTATTAATATCGTCACTTTGGAAGATCGGCGATCGTGTAAATTCAAATTCCCTTTGAAAAGAAGCTCATCATTTTCCAATAAAGTTTATTTTATGCTTTCGAAATGCGGTTTGAAACTCGAACAAACTATTTCATGCGCTTGCCTGAATTTAAGATGATGCGCAATCTGAAGCACAAAATATCTACATTCAAAAAGTATATTAACTACGTAAGTACCGCATTACAAGAAGAAAATAAATTCCTATACAGAATATAATAATCAGTCGTATATACATATAAACGTTTTAAAACTAGATGAAGGAAAGGAACAAGAAGCTGCGCTACGATTCAAGATGATGAACAAGAAGGAAATCTAGAAATCTAATCTCTTCAAATCTCTGTTTCAACATTCAGCGAATACAAGCGTTTTCCTCAACTCGCACGCAATGCACAAATTCATCTTGATACGTGAGAATAAAAATAATATTATATATTCTATATACATATATAATATTCAACGATTGCACAAAACACAGGTACAAAAGGGGCGGCGTTTTATCAGGATCGCACGCAACCCCAGGAACAAAAATCTAGAAAAGAGAAGATATTCCTTGTCTATCTTCGCTGGTCTATCAGGTCAGGAGGGAGAGAGAGGGGGATGAGCAGGGGAGGGGGGAATGCGGAATACTTCCGCGGGGCGGCGGATCACAGGCGTTGAAACGATGTTCCCGTGGAAGTTGTCGTTCGCTCGCGCCGTAGCCGGCCGCGGGACTTGTCCTAGAAGAGCGTGTTGCAGATGACCTGCTTCGACGGGTGCTTGTGCCTAATGTGATCCTGGATGTTGAACTTCTTTTTGCTAAGCTTGCCGCAGTACGGGCACTCGAAGCGCGGCGGTTTGCCGCAGTCGTACTTGAAGTGGGCCGTGACGGCGCTCTTCGTGGTGTAGCTCTTACGGCATCGGGGACACGGGAAGCGAGTCCTCGTTCTCCTCGGGCTCCTGCCGCCTGAGTAGGTCCCGTCCGGCCAAGGCAGCGGTAACATTTGTAGAAACGCTGAAAAAAACACGGAAGTGCGCGGTTAGCTCGCTTGGAACTCAGTTCCTTCGCGAGAGGTAAATCACGAGATTAAGCGACCCGTGATTTCTCTCTTTCTCTCAAGCTCTTTCTTTGAAGCAACAACACGCAACGCATTCGTAATTCGAGGAAGCTGTTGCCATAAAGTTTCGGGAGTTTGGAAAATTCCAACAGAATTGAAAATCATTTTGTTTGTTACCAATGAGTAATTTCGGGAGCTGATTAAACTCGACACGATAAACCACTATGTAAATTGGCTCGATAAAAAAAAAACGACATCATAGAGGATAATAATCTGAGTGATTATCTGATTTCCATTCTCATGTGTTTGAATACAGGATGTGTGGCTAGCTTTGTTTAGTAAGGAACGAACAAATAAAGCGGTTAAAGGCATCTTTAAGCTGTGCACGAACAGAATGATAATTGATCCATCATATATCGAATGAGAAGACGAAAAATCGGGAATGCTTTACAAAAATAAGGGAAAGGTTAATTTGAAACTATTTTAAAACTCACGATAAAAGTGTGATCATTTCTATCAGCGAGTTACTATCCAAATAAGAGATCTATGAAAATCCTACTCTGTAAAGAAATATGTTACTAACAAAATAAATCGTAATCTCGACAAAAGTCACATAAAAAATCGGGCTGTGTAAAATATATACGAGAAAAATAGCGTATAGATTTAAAGTATGTAATTATAAAATCATTTATCTATATTTTTTTTTTCAAACTTCCTCTGTAAGAAATACATAATTCATGAAGATAATTTTTACGTTTCATTAAAAGTATAAAATTAAAAGTAGACGAATAGACATTGGTCAAAGGATAGGGAATTAATTACATTCGATAAGCCTTATTTGATCTTTTTATTCAAAATAGACACAGGCGGAAGTATTTTTATTCAAGATCATTCGGGTTTCTCTTTCGTTAATTCAAAGCGTGAGAGAGATTTAATGTGAAAAAACGTTGTCACGATTTATTCCTGTTCGTAATGGAGTCTAACAATTTCAAGCTTCGAACCGGGATGCTTAACGCGTATATGTTTATAAACGTTGTTGGATTGCTTGCTCTTCATGCCGCAGTAAGGACATTGAAATCTCGGCGGACTCCCGCACTCGAACTTATAATGGCGCAACATATGATGTACATGACGATAGCTCCTCTGGCACTTCGGGCACGCATATCTAACAGAAAATTTATTACTCCATTTAATTCCAATGTTCACTGCTAGAAGAAACTAACAAAAGAAAAATTTATTAATGCATTATAATTAATTATAATAATATTCATATAACAATATAATTAATTATAATAATATTAAATGCATATAAAAGCAGAAAAAATTTAATTCTAATTATAACTAACAAGATTTAACAGTAGATTTTTATAACAAGTCATACAATTCATGAATTGTTTTAAGAGTCAATGTGAAATATTATCAATATTAATGTAGTAAAAATTTAAAATTATGAAAACTAGGTCAGTAAGCAAAAGGAATAAATGTAAAGTAATTTTAAAAAAGTAATTTATATCACTGTTTTTTTTCTAACTCACCTAGTATTATCCGAGTTTCGCGATGATTGTTTCTGTCGTCGTCTGTAATTCCATGACGGTTGTCCTTGAGTTTGATGATGAGATGCATTCGAGGTCGATGACATAAACGTCGGATCTGAAAGCAGAAGCGAAAAATCACGGTGAAAAGATAGCGTTCGTATGACGAAACATGCCGAAATTCTGCAGGACAGACCGAAAGGGAACAAACAAAGATCACAAAACACACAAAGCTCGTGGGGATACATTGATTTCGATGGATCGGTTTTATTAGTTGATTGTAAACAATGTGTCATTCGTATCTATCGAACACTTCGTTACGAAAACGATTAACACATACTCTCACAAATAGATTAATACAACCAAAGATGGCAACAAAAGTGTGCTCCGAGATTGAAGAAAGAAATTAAAGAGTCACTTCAATTTGCTAAATTTCTTATGCATGATGAAAGTTCCTTTCCCGAGCTTTACATATACATATATATATATATATATATATATATATATAAATTGTTTATAAAATTTTATAGAGAGAGAGAGCATCAACATAAATCATTTTTTAGAGATGCAAGGTGAATCCTTTTAAGAATAATTATTTGTTTGTTGCAAACAAAGATAAAATCCCTGAAGATTATATTTTGTTAATATTGTACCTGCCCGATGTAAAGTGTCCAATGTTATGCATTTTTATAGTTGCAGCTTATGCTTCGTTGAGTGAATAAATTCACTTACAAATTCATTTACAGCATTCTGCAAATTCTGCAATTTTGGTGCCACATGTATTGTCGCACTTCTTATATTATCTTATTATTATATATAACAATAAGATACAATCACATATAATAATAATTATTCCTGGCTACATATGTATTTCATATGATGATGCAATTTTGTTTAAATTACATTATTTATTGCAGGAAAAAGAATGACATCAAATAAAATAAACGATAAAACAAATAACTGAATAAATTCGATATTTGCACGAACATGTTAAGATCATGCTACGAATACAATTCAACTTCGTTGAATAAATCGTCTCGTACAAACAATTGTCGATGTAGCAATTCATCAGAAGCACATCGAAGTTAAGGATAATTTCGAGACGCGATTGAAACCAACTTCCCTACCAGTTTGTCAATTGTTCTCATCAGCTGATTAATTCCTTTGCGCGTAATGCTTTATATTTGAGGCGACGTCGATCAGAAAAACGCGCATTCCACTATGCAGCGCTCTGATATGTCTATACACGTTCGACACCTCTTTCGAACGCATCTCACAGTAAGGACACTTAAATCTGGGCCGCTGGCCGCAATCGTAGCGCACGTGTCTGTTCAGATTTGCCTTTCTGGTGAAGCCGCTCGGACAGTTCGGACAGTAAAACGCCTTGGAACTCCTGCGACGTGACAGACAGTCCCAGTCGACTGGAACAAAAATCCACCACGCTAATTCAAGATTGGATACAAACGCATAACAAACACTGACGCCGATTGATGCATGCAATAATGAGAGCAATGAAAACTTGATCTATCTATATAACATATTCGGAGGAAGCCGTCGAGGACCTTGCGAGCGAAAAACTATCGAAAACGTAGCGCAATATGACAAGTCTGAAACAGAAGAAAGATTAGAAATCTTTCGACAATAATAATCTGCGGAGAAGAGAACGAGGGCAATAGAGCAAAACAATGGTCGACGAATAATAGAGAAAATGCATTTTAATATCCTGTCCATCGTATAACAGATGTAGTACAAAGAATTCAACATCGAGTGTGGTCAACAATGGTTGAGAAAATTGCGCTAAAGAACGTGGAACTCCTATAACGATGGAAAAAAAAGTTCGATAAATGTCAGATTATCCTGGGGATCGTGCGAATCTTGGATCGGAGATCTCTCAAAGTCTAGTTTATATCGCGTCAGGATGCTTGGGGATACAGTTACTCATATTTAACATGTCGATGGCGAAGACGTCGTGATTCTCGTGCAAGCGCTTGACGTGCTTATAAGTGTCCCAGGAATACCGCGACATGTACGTGCAGTAAGGACACTTGTATCGCGGCTCCTTGCCGTTGCAGGCGCTCGTCACGTGCCGCTTCAAGTGGGCCTTCTTAAAGTAACTGTTGGGACAGTTCAAGCACTGATACGGCCTGTCGTTCCAGGGACAATAGGAATACCACTCCTGATACCCTGAAACATAATCGGCAGCACCATGCCATGACTCGTCAATGTAAAAACGCAAGATGCGAAAAAAATAATCTTCCATACGAAGAAAAATTCTTTTCTTCTTTTACAGAAAGTATGATATTTTTCATAGGTAGAAATTATTTTATACATAAACTTGCAAGGATACGCGATGTAGAAAGATGAAAAACAAACTGCCACAAGAGTGATATTGTATTCGTCCTTTTATCGTGCCTCATTGTATTTAATATAGAAATTAGATATTTTGCAAGTTTAATACTAATGTAGTATAATAATTAAGTAACAATAAATTACATATACATTTTATATTTTAAATGCACAAATATTATAGAGTGTATGCATGATTTTTTTAACAATAATGTCAGTAAATAAACTATTTATTTAGTCTTGTTTGCTGTTTGTACACCAGGGAAAATAATAAAAAAATAATAGAAATTAATGCATACTTATATATATATATATATATATATATATATATACACACATACATGATACAAAATTATCACACAGCGAATTGAATAAAAACACACATAATTGAATATAAACTTAAGGTTTCAATTCATAGTAATCCATATTTATTTAACTAAATAGTCATATTTAAATAGTCATTTAACTCTTTCGGAACAAATCGCATTTATACATCGTTATTCCATGTTTATACAAACCGAAAAGCATGCATATACAAAAATTCGCTACAAATTTTCACTAATAAAGATCGGCTTATTAATTAGCAATTTTTTATCTGTTTCTATATAATACATTCGATCAATATCCATCTTCAATATAATTGTAATGTGATTCATAATAATTTATAATTTATAATTTCGACCATGAAAGGCACGCAGTGGATTCATCGCATTAACTATATCGATTGTCTCGCATTTTACATCATCATATCGCATAAAAAAACAATAAATTGTTAAAACATTAATATTGATAATCATTCTGAAGTAAGATAACCGAAAGATGTAAATATATATTATGTATTTTAAACATAAAAATACATATAATGGAAAAACATACTAAAAACATCATAATGGCAAAATCTATTTTTCAAAGACAATGTGTGTTATGGATACCAATAAATACTTATATCGGTCATATCTTTGGAGAAGACTTTCCTGTTCTTATGCATCTGCCTCACGTGACGGTAAACTTTCGATCTCTGTTTATTAAAAAGGATAATATGGACACTTAAAACGCGGTTCTTGTCCACATTCATACTT